TTTTCCAACCAAGCGATTCTGTGATTCAGTGCTGGAAACTGAGGTTTTAAGGTAGGAAGCGAGAAGCTCAGTGGTAGGTGGAGCATCAGGAACTGCTTTTACCTGTTAGTTGTTGGGAAAGAATATGGTTAAGAAGCTAGCATTTGGATGATCAAAACACATACTTTATGTTGACTTTCTGCCACTTCCCAACTGATGATAAATGTACCGTATTTAACTGACTTGCCCTGGAGTTAGAATAAAGCTTTCTCTGAATTGCTACATTAAGAAAATTGAGAGGTGCTCAAAACAAACCTTCTAATGCATGCACAGTTCAGCAAGCAGTGACCCCACACTAGACTTTATTTGCAAGGTTTTCTGCCTAAAATACTGAGATTAATGTGACTGAGAATCATTAATCTCAGTAGGTGTCCGCTTGGGATATTTAAAAGTAGATATAGTGCATAAGACACTTCTTTCGAAGTCTTCATTGGTTATTTCTCGTCTGTTACTGGGTCTCTTGCAACTTTCACATTTTAGCTCAGGCAGTTTTCAGGTTTCATTAATCAGTTAAATAACTGAGAACAGTCTTTTGAGAGACCAAGGGATGGCAAAAATTCTGTCTGCATGGAGGATCTTCAAAAATATTTTTGAAGTGTGGAGAGCAACACATCCAGATTCGGTCAAGCACTTACCCTCTTCATCTGTGTTTGTGCTTTACTGGGTTAGGATTCTACTGAAATAGACAATTCTGTAGAAGCAGGAAAAAAAAGTTTTACAATTCTTCTCTCCATCATCACCAAAAAATACATCACCTGGAATGTTGATAAAATCTGGTATTTGCTAACCTTTGCATTGATGAGACAGCTAAGCCATCTCCCTTACTTGATAGGTACGGTCTTTCCAACTTGGATGCTACTCTTGAAGGAACACCAGACGACATGACAGTTGTAGATGCTGCTTCCTTAAGACGACAGGTATGTAAAGGAGCGTAGTTGATTATATCAAGAAAAAGCTGTAGTGGTAAAATGGGGAACAGGCCTACTGTGTGGCTGCAAAGGTATCCACAACAGATACGGTGAGGGATCCTCTCTGTACCCTTGCATAGCCTCTATTGTGTCCCAGCACATCTGGGGAGTCTGACTCCATTTCCGTCCCTATTTACTAGGGGCAGCAATATCTGATCATTAGCAATTAAAAGATAGACAGTCAAATTCTGAAGTGTTTAAAATCCATCTGTCTGAAGTAGTAATTTTACATGGCTCTTCAGAAGCTTCTGGAGAGTCTGGCAACTTTTAATAAGGTATTAAAAGCCTTTATTTATTTTCAGATAATCAAACTTAATCGCCGTCTACAACTTCTGGAAGAAGAAAACAAAGAGCGTGTTAAAAGGGAAATGATAATGTATTCAATTACTGTAGCTTTCTGGCTACTCAATAGCTGGCTTTGGTTTCGGCGCTAGACACAGCTCTCGGAAAGATTTAATAGTTGAAAATAGAAACAATTTGCAGAATTCTTTGTTTTTGAATTGTACGCTGTTTTATAATTCATACACTGGAAACTTCCACCACAGATAAAGGCTATAGAATTGCAGTGTTAACGGGACACCATGTTGTTCAGTTATAATGTATTTAATAGATTTGCATTGCAAATACTTGCAGTATCCTCCTTTTGCATGCTTCTGTGTAAATATAGATCAGCCAATACAAAGTTTGCTTCATGCAGTGTAAGGACAGTGATCTACAACCACTGGATGTTTTGTTGTGGTGGGAAGAGAACAAATGGAATGGGTTTGGAAAAAAAATACCAAAACAAAGGAATGAAAAGTTTTTCTTGTTCTGTTGTTAGATGCAATTAAACATGATTGCACTAGATTTCCTTTAGTCTGAGTAGTTTGAGGTATGCCATCTTCAAGGAGTGTGTCCTGTTTCATGAGTGTGTTCCTTGTTTAAGCACATGTTCAGGTCAAATAATAAAAGGTATTCTTTGCTAACATGCAGATCGTCCAGAAGTGTGTAATATGTATTTTCTTTTAGCTTTAATTTTGCAGATGTTTTTCTATAAAAGACATTTTTAAGCAAGTCAGTCTGTGAGTGATCAAAAGATTATAGAGTCCAAGATACTGATGTAGTATATTTAATAAAACGCTCACAAAAAAAAAATCCCAAACCATTGTTTTCATATTATTTTAAGAAAATTTATTTGAGGATTCATCTAAAGTATCAGTCCTTGAAGTAAGTAGTGGCGATGGACTGACCAACTCAAAAGTAGCAGGTAGGCATCTGATAGCCTGCTGCAGGCTACAATCCCCTGCATCTCGTGGGGCTGTTCTTGGTGCCTGTGGTGAGCACACAGGTATGGGGGGCTAGCTTGGTGTTCCCACCTGCCAGGTTTAGTTTAAACATCCCCTGTTCAGTCCCATGATCTACTGCTTTTGGTGCTGTGTGAGGGAGCACTGACTTCAGCCTCCCTGTGTGTCTGTGGCTTTCTGCCCTTGTGTGGCCACAGCTGCCACTTCCACTCATGTGCCGTAAGGTAGCAGCCACAACCCCTTCTCCAGGGCGTATGGAAAAACAAACAGTGGTTTGATATGTGGAAGAAAGTGCAATAGTATCAAAAGAGTGCTTCAAAGGGGCCCTTTCCTGGAACAGCCAGACCACTCTGCAGGACTTGGATGTATGCAGACTGGTGAAGAAATGATGGTATACAAGGGCTGCAGCAGAGAAGGACTTGGGGCCTCTTTCAGCGATGTCCTCGGGTCCCTGTGCTGCTGGTGGCTGCACGCTTGGGTAAGGACAGGGCATTCAGGGAGCATGAGTGTGAGGAGCCCTGAGGTTTTTGAGGCAGGGAATGCCTGGTAAGGAACGCTGCTCTCCTGCATTTCATGTATGTTAAACCGGGTGTCATACCCAGTGTAAAGTGGCTTCTGCACTATTGTACAGGCTGCTATGCCCACTTCCTTGTGGAAGATCCTTTTCTGGATTTGGCTGTTGTGCATGATTCTTGAGCTTTATTCCCAGTGACATGACTGTTGACGGGGTTGCAATCACGATGAGAAAAACTTATCTATGCAGTTGCAGATAAGCAGGCACTTCTTTATTGCAGCGCTGGGGAACGCAGAGGGTAGCTCCTCTAATTGTGCTCCAACGCCCATACATTTTCACAGCCTATTTATACATTTTTAACAAAGTGAAATCATACGAGCATGCATAAGATGATCACCATTTACTCTGTCCCTCACCTTGATTGGTTCCCCACTATCACGCCACATAAGACATTGAATTACCCCTATATGATTTTGACATAGAGAGAGAAAAGCTATGGCCTATTCTTCTTGTACTCTTTCCAAGCACCTGTATACACATATCCTGCTCCAAGCATCTGTACTCACCTGTACTCACCTGTACACACGCAGTCCCTTTGTAGAGGTCAAAGTGTTCTTTTAACTCTACAGCTGAAACAAATACCTACTTTAATCAGCCAGAATTTTCTCGTGACTGTAACAACTCCATTGGCTATTTAGGGCATTTGCTATGCCTGTTTCCTTACTCCGATGGTTAAAAGCATGTGCCTTTGTGGTTTAATGAAAGACAAGTCAAACGGAGGAGTGTGCTTTGCACGCATTCTGTATTTTCATGAATTTTACACCATGACCTTTAACCTAAAGCTGTACTGTACGAGCTCTGACGATGCAAACGAGGGCTGGAGCTTTTACAAGGAGTTGTATAGGTACCAGGAAATAATAAAGCTGCTTTTAAGGGAACAAAGCCGGACTTTGGCCCTGATAGCCGCAAAGCGGAGCCATCGCTCCCAGCCCGCGATGGTCCGACACGGCTGCAGAGTCGGTGCGATGGCCTGGGGCTGTCCGGCGGCTGCGCGCGCCGCGGCGGCGACCACTCCCAGCAAGCAGCGCGCCGCACGGCCCGCCGGGAGCGATCGCGCTAGGGCTGCTTCCGCCGGGGCTGGTCCGCGCGCTGCTC